CCTCTAGTTATATCTAAAGTTTATGTCTATTTGCACTTTTGACAGAATTTTAATATAGTGATCTGTAGTATTGAACAGACATTCGCAAATTTGTTGTAACGCATTGAGGTCGTCAGAGGATGAACCTTATCAATATTCAGTGTTCCACAACAATGTGTTTCATTGTGTCTGATATTCATGGGTTGGGGGGGGGGGCACGGTAGCTAAGTGGGTAAGACGCTGACTTGCTAGCCTGGAGGCAGTGGCGGTGCCAGCCGTCGGTGATTGGAGGGGCAAAGCTGGGGCAAAGTCCAAGGTTAAGGGGGCAAAGGCACGAGCTTCAACTAGGGGTAGGGGGCCTCCCCCAGAAAATTTTGAAAAACAGGTTGCCGGAAATGCAGTCTGGCAGTATTTCAGGCACTGATCGATTAGGTGAAGTGTCAAACGAACGGACGTGCGAATCACGACGAAGCCCACTCACGAGCGTCAAAGTAGGGAGTCCCCCCCCCCCCCCCAGAAAATTTTGAAAAATAGACTGCCGGAAATGCTGTCTTACAGTATTCTGTCAGGCACTGATCGTCGAGATAAATAGATCTGCCCAGATACCGTTCTTCGCCTGATCACTCGTTTATCCGACTAGAGAACAAAATGTCAAACAAACGGACTTGCGAACCTCAACGAATTCCCCTTGTGAGCGCCAAAGTAGTGAGTCCATTGGGGACCTCGCCATGAAAATTTTGAAAAATAGACTGTCGGAAATGCTCTACAACATGCAAGTTTATGACTGAGTGGGGATGTGGGATTTATTCACCGTAGAAGGTATTGATTATCGAAACGTATCACAAATACTTTTTTTTATTTTCTTAAATTATTGGGGCGGCAAACAGAGAGCAGACCAGATTAATGGGGGGGCAATTGCGCCACTGCCTGGAGGTCAGGTGTTCGATTCCTGCATTGGCCGAGAAAGTTCATCCAGATTTTCCAGCGTGGAATTCGATATAAGAGTAGGCCGTAGGGCCGCTGTCTGGGCAAAATTTCCCTCATAGCACACTGTCTTCATTAGCCCAGTTCAGAGCAGAACAGTAGGACGTTAAATCCCATTTTATTTCATTTTATGGGATAGGGCCATTTTCCTTGAGAGAAAAAAATTTAAAAATATATATATATGTGACAACTATTGTTTTGACTGTTCAGACCAGGGTTCTTAATCCATTTTGAAATGAACGGATAGTCGTCTTTTCTTTATGCATACTCTATTCACGACAGTAATTGCATAATTCATTAATTGCATAACGTAGTCATATTATTATTTCAGCAACTTGCATTGCATATTCCTACTTTTGCTTTCATCCAACTAAACAGAAGTTATAAATTAGTAAAAAGAAAAACTACAAGTACATACAAATGGTTTTTAGATTATTTTATTCGTAAGCACATGTTAATATATATATATATATATAAAAATAACAAAGTATATAAGTATATAAATAACAAAGTAGAACAAAGGTCACGTGGACAATTGTCGTGATTCAGATTAGTTTATTTTTAGTGTTACCCATATACAATTGTCGGATCTCTTCCTCAATTTCACTGGATATTAAAGAAATAAATTCAAATCGTTCAATTGTTCATAATTTTCGATGGCAATGTTTCTTTTTGCTATGAAATACGCATTCGGATTAACACAAGCATTGTAGTATCCGCCCGGTTTGAAACAATTTCTATAGACTTTGGAATTAAACTCTTTGTTCTGTCATCGTCTTTCTTTGCTGCACAGGTATGATTGTCAGATTTGATATGGTCTTTTATTGCCGATAATTTGAAATTAACAGAGACATTTTTACAAATTTGTATTTATGGTTGTGCCTCTGGCAGATCTGAAATTGGTAAAATAATAGGCAATTACTTGACGTGAACATACTATTAATAATATACGGGTCAGTAGGCTATCACCTGACTTACTTTACGTTAACATAATTACCAGACGAGTAAAAGTAATAATTAATAGCTTACGAGACAAAACATTTTCTCTGAATCTTTGTTGAACGAAAGCCATTTGAAAGAAGTTAGCCATTCGGATTTAAAATATCTTCGGGCCTTCGTCTTTGGTTGACCTATATTGGACGTGGGAGGATCTCTGGCTTTTGGAACTTCCATTGACGACGTGCATGCTTGAAGTTCAAGATCAACGCCGCCATCACTATCTTCAGTTAAATCTCGTTTACTTTTCCTGTTGTCATTCTGCGAGGTGTTCCAGTACTTCAATATTGTGTTTGATAGAAATTAATGAACCGACATTGGATTATATACATTCTTTTACTTGGCATGATTAGCTCAATTAAGTTGTTTATTTATGAAATAAGCCGAAGGTAATGATTGACTCTTTAATGGGTTTCTTAATCGACGAGTAATAATTAACTCCTTGTAATTGGCCGAAAGTAGATTGATTTATGATACCATAGTGGGCAGTTCATTTTTTTACCAATCGGCTAGATTAAAGATCAATCGGCTAAAGCCTACAAAAAACAGCTGATTAAGATCCCTGGTTCAGACTACATATATATATGCTGCTGTGGGCAATATATCTTTAATTTTGGTAAAAAAATTTAAGATAGAGATTATCTTCTTTTTGTCCCCCGCCTTTCGAAGAAAGCAGGGGACTATTAAAATGGGTATGTTTATCTGTCCGTCCGTCCATCTGTCTGTCACTCCGTCTGTCTGTCTGTCCGTCACACTTTTTGGGACACAATAACTCACTTTCTAATTGAAGTAGAATGTTCAAACTTAGTGTAGGTGTTTATTAGGTGAATACCTTGATGGAGTTCGAAGATGAGCATTTTCTGCTTAAGGTAAGCAGAGATAAGCAATTTGATTGGTTGATGCTTTGGGACATGATAACTTTAGTTCTAATTAAGTGAGAGTGATGAAATTTTGTATATAGTTTTATTAGATCAATACCTTGACTAAGTTCGATAATGGGCATTTTCTACTCAGTGTAAGCAGAGCAATAAGCAATTTGATTGGTCGAGACTTAGGAAGATAATAACTTTCATTCTAATTGAGCTAGAATGTTCACATTTCATGTAGGTGTTTATTAGGTGAATGCCATGATGGAGTTTGGAGTTAGAAGATGAGAATTTACTGCTTAGGGTAAGCAGAGATAAGCAATTTGATTGTTTGATGCTTTGGGACACGATAACTTTAGTTCTAATTAAGTGAAATGTTGGACATTAAACCTCATTTTTATTTATATTGTCGTCGACCCCGTCCGTCCATAGGTCCATCCGTCGTGTCCACAATTGCTTGTGGACACTCTACAGTCTAAAGTTAATACACAGTGTTTAAGACTTTTGCTAGGGCTAGAAATTTGTCATTTTTTGCAAGAATCTAAGAGGATTCTCATATATGAAATCTGCACGAATCCTCTGAATCTTAATTAACAATATTGTCTAAAAAACAAGATTGTTTTTAATGTGTTACTTTATATCACCAAAATTCAACAACAATGATAAAAATAAAACAATCAGATGGAATTTTTGGTAAACACTTAAATAGTGTCAAAAGTAATATCCAGAAAATGCCGTAGCCAAAATAAGCTGATACGGCACCATGGGATTTCTTCATAGCACAATTTATATTCTTTTGTCCACCACATAATTAGTCACCTAACTTGCAAAAGTTTTTATTCATTGTCGATGATAGTCTAACGGCACAATGATCATGTGACAACCACAACTGAAATGGCTATAAAATAAAATTCTGTACGACTATGATATAGCCTTCAATAATATTTTTAAAATTAAGCCTCTTTCAGCTATTCGCAAAACATGCCGAGATCGTCTTCATTCGCCACGTGGCTTATTTTACTGAAAGTACTATTAATTATCAGCAAGCTTGTTTTGTTTTTTTTACCGGATTATCAAAATCACCGTTAAATGTGCTAATTACTTGGATTATGAACAACATATGTTAGATTCTCACTAAGGTATGACTGTTGTAGCCGACAAGCAAGTTGATTGACTTCTTTATTAACAAGTAATAATTAACCATTGTATGATACCATAGTGGCCGATTCATTGTTTTACCAATCAGCTAGATTAAACATCAATCGGCGAAAGCCGACAAAATAGGCCTACAACTGATTATGAACACTGACACTGACTGACATTCAATAGTCGTACTCGACAGCTCTCCGAGATTTTTTTTTTTTTTTAATTTTTTTACCCGAATCCTTGTAGATTCGCAGCGTAGGCTCTTGCAAGAATCCTTGCGCGAATTAGATTTGGAGATTAGCGTGAATTTCTAGCCCTTAATCACTTTAAAATATCTTGTGAACACTCTAGATTCTAAAGTTAATATCCGATTTATACAGTGTTTAAGGTCATAAGACAAAAAAGCCTATTGATTTTCAACGATTTTCGATAATTACTGCCTGAGTTATGGCCCTTGATCACTTTGAAATATCTTGTGGATGCTCTAGACACTAAAATTAATATCCGATGATTAACTTGAAATTTATACACACTGTTTAAGGTCCTGGGACGAAGAAGCCTGTTGATTTTCAACTAACATATGGTTCAGTTTTATTTCAATAATTCACTTGTGCGTAGGAGCCTTTAGCAGTGGGAGAAAACCGGAAGACCCGGAGAAAACACACGAGTTTAGACAGGCGACCCTACTCCTTGTCACATACAACCGGGGAATCGAAACCACGCCAGTTGACTCAATGACAGACCTTATGATACACTAACCATTCGGCCATCCAACACCCCACCTCAAACTGGGCATATCTGTTGGCCAACTGGTTTATTGAACCTCTAGTTAAATTTTTAAATTCAAATATAGTATTGTATACTTGTAAATAAGCTCTGACCTGATAATGCTTGCAAATGGCAAAATTCAAAGTTTTAAATTATGCACAGTACAATCATTTAGAAAAATACAATATTTGAATTTAAAAAAGGTACAATCATAAAAAAAAAGGATACATGATTAAATAATAAATTTGAATTGTGTCTTACCTTTTAATCCAGATGTGATAGATACGATTTTTATGTTTAGATTTTTTTCACTAAAATTCATACAGAATAAACAAAGTCTTAAAATAAGTGGTTCACAGATCTCTTGAAGAAAAACATATATGTATATAATATTGTATTAAAAGCTCACTACATAAACAACTCCATAGAACAAGTAAATAACTACTCAACTGATACTACTATTCCTGAAGACCTGAAGCCTCAAGTCAAAGTCTAGTTATAGCTAATACAGCCTTCTCACGCTTTCAGCTCATAGCAAGATTTCAACCAGTAGTGTGACAGCCAAAATTGATCAGGTTTGAATAAGTAGTCAGTTGCCTAGTATCACAGTTAAAATACTGTACTTTTGCCAATTGTTGTCATAGGTCATTTTAAATTACAAAATGCATACAGGTAGATGAAATGTCTGTTATAGGGTGTGGAGAGACATATATGGTGGGAATAGTGTCCTATGCTAGGTTAATGGGTTCATTATAGTATGTGAAATTTCTGTGCTCAAATTTGAAACCTTGGGCGAATTCAGGTTGGCTTTATCAACCAAGACTAGTATAGAATTTGAGACTTACTTGCTATACTGCCCGATCTACTAAGCCATGTTATGTCCCATACAAATCTTATGCTGTGTGTCTACAATTAGCTAGGGCGGTTGGTGGCCATATGATTAACTGGTGCACATTGTATGGGTCTGTATAAAGTCAAGTGGTGTGGTTTCGATTCCCCGCTTGTACATGACAAGGAGTAGGGTCACCTGTCCAACCTCGTGGATTTTCTCTGGAAATGACCTAGTTTATATTGAGTCGACATTAAACTCATCTCTCTCTCTCTCTCTATTAAAATGGGTCTGTCTGTCCGTCCATCTGTCACACTCTTTGGGACACAAGAAGTCTCCTTCTAATTGAGATAGCATATTCAAACTTGGTGTTATTGTTTATTAGGTGGATGCCTTGATGGAGTTCAAAGATGAGATTTTTCTGCTAAAGCTAAAGCTAAAGCTAAGATAATTTTCATTCTAACTGAGTGTAATGAAACTTAGTGTAGAGTTTCATTACATCAGTACCTTGATTAATGATCATATTCGACTTGGGTAAGCAGCGCGATAAGCAATTTGATTTGTCAAGACTTTGGAACACAATTACTCTCCTTCTAATTGAGGTAGAATGTTCAAACTTGATGTAGGAGTTCATTAAAAAAGAGGTGAATGCTTTGATAAAGTTTGAGATTGAGCATTGCTTAGGGTACTTGCAGAGATAGGCAATTTAATTGGTTGAGGATTTGGGTCATGATAACTCTGGTTCTAATTAAGTGAGATTGATGGAACTTGATGTATAGTTTCATTACATCAATACCTTGACTAAGTTCGATAATGAGAATTTTCTGCTTCGGCTAAGTAACGAAAAACAGTTCAATTGAAGTAGAATGTTTAAACTTGATGTAGATGTTCATTAGGTGAATGTCTTGACTGAGTTCAATGATTAACATTTCCCACTTAAGCTAAGCAGAGCTAATCAATTTCATTGGTTGATGCTTTGGGACAAGATATAACTTTGATTCTAACTAATGAAGAGTGATGAGACTGGTGGATAGTTTCACTAAAAGGTACTTCAAAATCTTGAATGAGTTTGATTGTTAACATTTTATGCTTGGACTAAATATAGATAATCAGTTTGATTGCTCGATGCTTTTGAAAAAGATAAATGTGCAATTAATTGATAAGTTGGAAATACCCCAGGAGTATTCACTTGATACCTTCTAGTCAATATTATTAAAACATATTTAGCATAAAGTACCGAATTTACAAACAAAATTTAATGAGCTGATAGATCTAATAACCATAAATAAAATAATTGCTAAAAATGTTGGTCTATGTTGTTGTAAATTACAAATTATACTTACCAAAATATTAAGAATATTTACAAAAAGAGTAAAAATTAACAGTTACAATGTTAAACTATGTAGGTCAATTTTTTCATCAGTAAATTTTGGTGTTTTCGGATTCGTTAAATGTTTTGAAAATATATTGATTCCAAGGCCACCACCCATTCTTGGAAGAAGGCTAACCAGAAATGTATTGATTTCCAAAATAGGAGACGAATTCACGAAACGGCGGGCGATTTCGATTATTTCTAATAAAACGTCAAATGCGAAATTAGAAATAATGAAATATTCAAATACCAAAAATTCGACCATGAACCAGGCTTTCCAGAAATGTATTAATTTCTGAAATAGAGAAATTCAACAAACTATGGCCTATTGTGTTTATTTACGAGCCTTTTAATGTAGATTTTTCACTATTTTTCATATTCAGTTCAAAATGGTGACCATCAGTTGACGTAGATCAAAATTTTAAGCATTCCTTCAAGGATTCAGAAAATGTAACTCCCATGTCTGTAAGTAAAATATTGCAAAAGCCTTAGGGATTTTTCACATTTCAAGATGGTGGTACTTCCGGTTAGATCAATAAACTTCATATTTTGTGAATGCATCAGTAATTTCTTAGCTAGTACAGGAAAAAAAAAATTCAAGGCAATCTGACCTATATTTTGTCGATTTTTTTTAAAAACTTTGATCCTTAATTACTCCAAGGGGAGATAAATTAGAAAATTTCTAATGACGTCTTTCAAGTTGCGTCAGTAAGATCTACTTGCATTCTGAATTTCATGAATATCGTGCAAGTATTAAAGAAGTTGACAAGCTGGTCTCAACTTCTAGGACGAAATCACAGTGACGAATTTTCGAAAATTAAAATTCTAAAATTGCAGATTTTATGGGGGTAGGTCAAAATTTCAGAAAGATCTGATGGTTAGATTGTGGGAAAATAACAAAAAAAAAAAAAAAAAATAATACTAATAGCCTTAACAAAAACAATAAGCTTTCATATTACGTTATTGGTTGGGTGGAAAAGTGAGCAAGAAGGCATGTGATAAAAACAAAGCTGGAATGAACACTCGGGAGTTTTTATTCATCATTAAGTAATAAAATATCATAAATAACATAAAGACATTTTTTCAATATTTATTTTACATATCATCCAGAAAAATCAAAACTGCGATATAAGACTAAGCACCAAGACTAAGACTAAGCACCAAAACAATTTCTCCAGGAATCAGGTTCCTTTTACCTTTCATGTCAGAATTTCATTTCACAATCTCTTTAAAATTTCTAGTTGCAAATGAGCCTCATGGCATCACAGACTTGATCAACTTACACTACAAAAATTGTATTTTTACCAAATTATATAACATTATATTTAGACCTGGCTAAATATATCTGTTGAAGCCTGAAGCTATTTCATCCTTCAATTATGGCATTCAACCCGTTTTGTGTTTGATGTTTATTGTCATTTTCGGACAAACAAATGGTACTACTTTTATTTCAATAATGTGCTTGCGCGTAAGTCACAGTAAGTGTCTTTAGAAGTGAGAGGAAACTTAAAGACCCACAGGGGGTGGCCAGGCAACCCTACTCCTAGTATCAATTCCTTAGTTATTTTGCAAAAATTGTATTAGTCACAGTTCCAATTGTCTTATTAACATTAATGCAAGGATATTAAAATGATAAAAAGCTCTTTTGTATTTATATATTTTACAAGTAATCTTTTTTAATGATCATACTGGTATTCTCAAATTTTGTGAGGAGAGGCCCTTGGTAGGGAAGTCTGCAGATTGGCATAGACAAAATATTGCTTTTATTGGAAACTAGCTCCAGCAGATATGCAATAGCTGATATGATTAAATGTATTTTATGTATTGATTTTCATCAAGGGTAAAACCAGGGATGTTTTCTCTGCATGTTTGATCTTATGTTTCTCCTGTTATGTTTTTTTTAAGCCAAACCTCGTCAATAGAAATCAATGCCCATTCAGTATAACATAATATTTTATGTTATCATGGTTAAAATTACTAAAGTACAGATTAGACAGTAGAACAAAATACTTAACATGGAAAAAACGTGGCAAGGATATCTTAAGAAGGAAGTATTATAATCTTATGAGACCTGTGAAGCTAACCATAATCTGCTACTTGTGTTATCTGTCCTATACATTTTATACGCCCACATATTAATGTGCAAAAAATATAGCAAGTGTGCTTAATTGGCCATCGGTGGGTGGATTTAGAGGATCAATTTATTAAAGAGCACATAAAATGACCATATACAAGTGGTATGTATTTAAAACAAATTTTTATTATATAGACTTTACACCAATTTCACACAAGTCTAATTAAAATTATTCACACGGCAATATGCATAGTGTGTAGAACTGGTCTCAGAGCTTTTAATAACAGGCTTCTGCGTTAGAATATCCATCAAGCAAGTAGAAAAGCTTAATTGTGGTTACTATTCATGGAAACTCGTGAGAAATATACATGTTGTCAGTAGTCGCTTAAACCTGTCAGTACTTGCACCGTACATCAGTATTCCTATAAATGGTCAGTAATAATCATAAGGTGAAGATTTAAGTTAATTGGTTAGTATTCCTTACTTGTGTCAGTATGCAAAAATAACGTGAGTAATTAAACAAACGTGAGTTTATCCGAACATATCACTAGTCAGGCGCTTGTGGGAGAAATTGGAAAAAGCGTGACTAATTAAGAAAACGTCACTATTTAGTCTACCGCTCACTATCTGAGTGAAACTGCCAGTTATCTTTCATGTGCGTCAGTAAGTGGAACCGTCGCCAGTAGAGCGTGAAATCGTTAATTATATAAATTTCTGGTGAGTATTGTTACTTAGTGGTTATATATATATATTAGTATCCTGAATAAATGATTAATTATTTATTAATAATCTCGAATCGGAGATTAAATATACAAGGCCTACATTACTAAGGAATGAACTATTCTCTTTGGTTCTATGAACACTGAGAGAAATATTAAACAAAAATTAACAAATATATGGCGTGGTGGCTATGTGATTTAGTGTTAGAACATAACGATATCTTTAACTTGTTTTTCTCAAAACTACCCTTTCTGACTTGGGCGACCCCAAACGGATATGGCTTTGTCAGTTTTACAGTTTAATATCAGTTATCTTTTTAAATAAAGCAACCGAACTGCAGTTGCCTTGACACCAAAAGTTTTCCAATATCAACCCTGAATAAGCTCGTGCACGCTTGTACATGTATAAATAGAATTGATCCTTTGATCGAGAAGGCGTTACGTGATTGCCGACTATGTGCTCTGCACAGACTATTCGTGAAACGATAAGATGCGAAGTCTGAAATAGTCTGGTTGACGTTTGAATTATATGTTGTTGTTTTTATACGCCCACATTGAAATGTGGTTGTA